GAGAAGTGAGAGACTCAGGATGCAAACTGAGGCATATATTTCTGAGGTACGGCCAGTGTGAGAACTTATTTCTGTCTTGACTGCATATGTTACAAGGGTTTTCTTTTTCTTCTTTTTTAGTAGGGGAGGTGGGAGGCAGGGAAAATAGACTTATTAATAAAATTAAATTCAAAAGGAGTACTTAGTGATCACAGGGAGGGTATCTAACAGATCACAACAAATTAATATGGTAGCAATGCCATTAAAGCAAAGTCACAATTTCCCACCTTTTGGACACCAGCCAGAATCACATTTCAAAATGGCAGAGTATAAAGTAGTCCCTCCACTACAGATTTGGGTTTAAGACCCTGGAGAAGTCTCTCAAATTTGTATCCAAATACTGTCTTTCCTAAAGTTCAAACTGACTCCAAATGTTTATTTTTCTATTTAAAATTTTTTTTCTTCAAGTCAGCACAGGGTTTAAACCCAGTGTTTATAGGTCACTTTGAAAAAATATCAGAAATAGAATCAAATTATAATTCACATTTGACTGAAATGGGACACACTGTCCCCATGTTCTTTCTACATCCTGTCACCTAAAATGAGAAAAGATTGCTACCACAAACTATACAAAAATAGGTAGCTGACTTGAAAAGAACAAACATTCACAGACTGAAAGGTATCTAGCATAATTCAAGTTTTAAAACTTTAGCAAACACTTATTATGTACCAGTATATTTCTAGATACCTAGAATTTTTTAAAATGAAATATACATGGTTCCTGCCTTCAAGGAATTTCCAATCGTTTTTCTGAATTTTTATCTTTTGTTTATTTAACACTTTACTTCCAAATATATTCCTTACAGAATCACAGAATTTCAAGTTGGAGGGGACCCATATCTAGCTCAACTTAACTACACAAAAGGACTATACATAACAATATACCTGAGAACTGGTCATCTAGCCTCCCTTTGACCCTCCAAGGAGAAGGGCCCAACCACCTCTTTCCCCCTTTCTGCAAGAGCTGTAGTGGTAACAAGTTCTTCCTCTATCAGGCTTCAATGTGCCTCTATGTAGTTGCTCCTGGTTCTGGAGCCAAACAAAATTGAACCCCTCCTCCACATGACAATCCTTCAGAACCTTGAAAAGAGCTACCAAGTTTCCCCCAATTCTTCTTTTCTCCATGCTGAACAGGCCCAGTTCTTTCAACCAATCCTCCTATATCATGGAATCCAGACCATTCATCATCCTGGTAGCCGTCCCTCCGGTCACTCTTCACCTTATCTATGTTCTTCTGAACAATGGAAACACAATATACTCCAGATGATGAGGTCTGACAAAGGCAGAATACAGTGAAACTATCACCTCCCTGTTCCTGGAAGATGTGACTTTTAATACAGCCTTCTATCCCATTAGCCTTTTTTCTGGAGGCCACATCATACTGCTGCCTTAGAATTAGAGCTTGATTTCCTTAGACTAGATTTCCTAAGTCTTTTTCAGAACTGCTGTCTATCCATGCCTTATACTTGTCAAGTTGATTTTCTTCTGTACCCAAGTGAAAGACTTCACATTTATCCTTACTGAATTTCATCTTATTAGATTGAGACCATTGCTATAGTGTCGTAATAAATCAGCGATTAAGGGAAACAGAGGCACAAAAGTCCAAGCATAATCTATTTATTGTTAAGGCTAGCAATTACCAACAATAGAGGTCAATGATCCCTTAGTGATCAAGGCTCACCCATCCAATCAGAGCATTCTTTTATATAGTCTGGTTATATAAGTTCATTACAAAATGTCAAAAGCGCCAATTAAACTAAGACTCATAGGTCCATAATTACACTGACTTGCAACAGGGGTCTTCCAGAGTACATAACACAGAGTTGGCCAACACCCTTTGGAAAGTCCCTGACTCAATACTCCCCATTTCCTAAGTGTTTTTCAGAACTTTCATCTATCTACACCTTATACTTGTAAAGTTGATTTTTTTCTGGACTCAAGAGAAAGACTTCACATCAGACCAGTGCTATATAGCTCAGAGGTATCTAACTCAAATCTTATAAGACACCTCAGTGCCTGCCCAAACAGATTAAAATGTAATGGGGAAATGTCTAACAATATAAATAAAAATGCAATACAACATAGATAATGTTAATTTGTGATTTTTTAAAAGCCAACATGCTGTTAGCAGGGACTCCACTGCTCTAAGCTGTTAAAATCCTTTTGGGTTCCAGTTGTGCCTTCCACTGTGTTAGCTATCTCCTCCAACTTCTTGCCACCTACAAATCTGAAGAATATGTCATCTATGTAAGAGCATACCATACTATCCAAGTCACTGATAAAACTACTAAACAACACAGGACCAGTCACAGATCTCTGGGGTGCTCCACCTGAGATTTCCTCCTATATTGACCACTGAACCATTAACAACTCCTCTTTGTGTCTAGCAACCCAAACCAGTTCTGAATCTAACTGTATTATCCTCTAATCCCCATCTCTCCATCTTCTCCACATGAACAAGAGATACTTGATCCTCAAAATTCCCCAACTACTGGTGTAATAATCCTATCAAAAAAGGAAATGAGGTCAGTCTGGCATGACCTGTTCTTGATGAAGACACGCTGGGCTTTTTTTTTTAAATAATCGCTACTTCTCTTTCTAGAGGTTTGTTTACTAACTCTTTATAATCTGTTATAGAATTATCCCAAAAATTGAAGTTAAGCTCACAGGTCCATGGTTAGCAGACTCTTTTTTCCTCTTTTTGAAAATCAGGATAACATTTCCCCCTCTCCAATCTTGTAGAATCTCCCCTCGAGTTTCCATGCTTTCATCAGAATCACATCTCCTAGTTATATTATAAGGATATACTTCATTTGGACCAGGTGACCTGAATTCATTAAGGCTAGCCAGGTACAATCTTACTATTTCCTTACTTATCTGGGGTGTCAAATTCTTATCCCTATCTCAACTCCCACATACACACTCAGCAAGCTATCCTGGAACACAGAACAAAAAGGGAGGAAGAGGAGTTCAACAAAATTAAGTAACACACCAATAATCTGAGTACATATGCAATGCTCCATACTCATAGTCCCCCACCTCTGAAAGAGAGGGAGGAGCTCATAACCTAAGAGAAAAGTTATTAGAATAGAACGTGGCATGTGAAAAGGGCCACAGAGAATCAGACCAAGAAAGCCTCACAGAGGAGAGGAAGGGTCCAATTCGCTTTTAGTTGCAGTCAATTATACACTGCCCATTAGGCTAACACTTTGCTATTTACGCAATCAGTTTTATATGAAATCAGGTTCTTGTGCTTCAGATACAGAGACCTTGATCATCTGCGAAAGAAGTGTGGGTGGTCCCTAGGTAAGACAAGAAAGAGCGAACCTTAGAAAAGAGTTAATGACAATGGAACTTGCTCCTATTGAAATATTACTGCTTACAATGTTTTTGATATCATTTCTCCCTTCCTTTGCTCCTCTGAATTTATACATTAAAGTCAAAGGCCAAATACTGTGATGGTTATTTCTGGATTCCTTCCAAGTCAGCAAGAATCAGGTTTAATTTTTTCAAAGGTAAAAAGTAAGGTTTTTATTTCTCAAAATAAAATAAAACATCAACAAAAGTTACTTGGTTCGAGCTACTGGACCAAAGAGAATACAGGCTATTGACAAAAGGACTACCCATCCTAGGGGAATTGTTCCTTGTTTAAACACTATCTTACCCGAGGCATGGTACCAAGGCAACTAAAACACACGCCTAATGAGGACTAGAATGAATATCCATTCCTAACAAATCCCCAAAGAATTAAAACTCAAATATAAACCACCTGCTCTTTCCACATTCCTTTGCCCTGTGGGCTGAAAGATACTTAGCCCACCTCCTTTAGCAGAATCCTGAAATCCTATTTCAAGGTGACTTCACTGACCCAGGCCCCACTCCTTTAAAAAAAGACAAAAAAACAATTAGTCTGTATACACATATATGAATATTATGGGAACTTTTAGACAGGGTGTAGTGGGAAGAGGGGAGACCAGGGTTCCAATCCTAGCTCCAACCTTAACTAGCAGCGTGAGCACCAGCAAATGAGATCAGTTTTTGAGCCTATTACCTCAATTACAAATGAGGTTAATAATACTTTCAATTTACCTACTACACACACACACACACACACACACACACACACACACACACACACACACGGCTGTTGCAAAGAAAACTACTATGTAAACCTTAAAGTGTGGCACTACATGCATGACCTATTCTTCCCAAGCATTTAAGCAGAGGGGGGGCAGAAGGAAAACTGGCCAAAAGAAAAGGAAGAAAATGAAAGGCAGAGGCTGAAGTCTGGATATTCTGAGCCACTGAAACAACAGACTAGCATTGGTAAACAAAGAATTAGCTTTGCAGACCCTAGCCAGTTTTTCCCACCAGGAGCACAGAGTAAAGCAGGGTCCCCCTCTCTCTTCAAAAAGAAGTGGGAGGTAACTCTTGGAGGAAAGACAGCATGACTTCTATCCTGAAGGCAAGGTAGCGGACTGGTAGAGCAGGAAGGCAGCCTTAATGAGAGCACCAGCTGCTTTCCCACTCTGAAATAGCCTGTAGGCAGGAGATAAAAGCAGGCAGGGCCCCACCCTCCGGGCTGATGTATATAGCTATTGCTATGGAAAGAGTTAAAGGGTTAGCACCAGAACCAGAGCTAGAGACAGGTGAGACCTCTTTGTGGGAGAACAATGCAGCTCCAAAGAGTTTAGTGACCTGGATGGCTTTCCCCTCCATGTTGTATGTGTCTTGGCCAGTGTGGATCGTGCTATGCAACAAACTGCCTGAGATCTTAGCCACAAAATCCATCAAGGCATTGGGCAATGATGACATTATGTGACAAGTTCAATAGCAGCTGCCCTTTCCCCATTCTCTCCGTTGTGCCAATGAACAAAGTTCTGAGCCCCTGGCATGTACCCAGACCACTGATCCTGCTTTCGGCCCAGCCCTCCCAGTCATTATCCGGAAAACAACTCCTGTGAGGAAGGGGCCAGCCATCCCCCTCCAGCTTCCACACACAGGACAGGCAACCCAGACTAGCTGAAACAGCAATGTCCTAAGGGAGGGAAACGCACCAGGAAAATCAACCACTACCACCAGCCAACTCAACCATGACCTCCCCCTTAAATCTTACGGACACAGCAGAGGGCCCTGAACCCAAGGGCTTTGGGAACAGCCACGATTCCAGCCTAGGGCTTGCAACCATCATCCTGGGAAGCAATCCCAGTGGAGATGCAGCCTGACAATTGCCCCTACACGTACAGAGCCCCAGCTACTGAAGACCCAGAAAAGAAAGTTCCCTGGCCACGACAAATGATTCAACATCAGAAAGTGAAACGATTTTATCAGTGCAAATGACATTAAAGAAGAGGCATTTTCTTTGCTTCTGCACCATAAAGACTACTGGACTTTTCCAACCGACTGCAGCTGAAACCTTCCATACATGTTGTCTCCCTTACTGGAATGTGAGGTATTTGCTGTATGTCTCAAGCATCAGAATATGGTTAGTTTTAATTTATAAGTAAAGGATAAATGAAATGTTAAGTGTTAGGGAAACATCAGGAAAGATATTCAAGCCCTAAGTTATGGCTAGTGAAATTTTGCTATTTAAGGTAAAAAAAATTTTGAGACTGTTAACTTACTATTGTTTTGGGCTTTGATTACAGGGATAGTTGTCTGAATTGCCACAAAGTCAACAGTAGAAAATGACATATGTGTAGTCTGGGAACTGCTACAGATGGATGTCTGTGCCTGGGAAAAGTATTGGGAATGACTTTGGCCTGGCCAAACTCCTGACTCTATTTCCCCACTGTGATATTTCCTTTCTGAAAAGAAAATTTCCCCACCTGGTTAATCCTGAGCCTTGCTTTTTATACCCTGTGACTATATGATTGGCTGTCAGATTATGACTCATGCCTGGAATCAAACAGAGTTAAGGGAGCTTTTCCCCTCTGTTATGATATATGACTTACTTAAACATAAACCATGCAAAGCAATACAAGAATTATCACCAATACTAACTTCAAGTCCCCTTGTATCCTAATGACCCATTCTCAATATCCACTTAACCAGCACATTTTGAGTCTTAGACATCTCATGTAATCAATCACCTGGTCCTTAGACATCTTTTCTTAAACAACAGGTTTTATTCTCAGAACACCTCTAAAGGCTGCTCTGCTTCTCTGGTTCCAAATCTAGAGGTTCCTAGATAATTCTGACTTAATATAATCTAGTACAATCACTTAAATTTGGTTCTCCAATTTTGAAACTTCAGAGAACTTCAGTTTATATACCATTTGCTGTTTCTATCCTTACCTTAAGTAAAAAATCCAAGCTATCAATGGGATTTTAAAAAAAAGTTATAAATCACTAATAATTAGAGAAATACAAATTAAAGCAAATCTAAGGTTTGATCTCACATCTAGGGAATTTCCATCAGATTTCCTTTCCAAAAAAGAAAAATGACAAATGTTGAAGGGACTCTATGGGAAAACAAATTTTTAGAAGCCATAAGAAAAATCACTTCACTTCACTCAATTTCCTCATTTCTTTGAAAGAAAAAATGAATAGATGATATCCGAAGGTTCCTTTCCAGTTTTAAATCCATGATACTACAACCTGGCTCAGAATTGCAGAAGTTTAGAGTTGGAAGGTCCTCAGCTGCCATCTAATGCAACCCATACCCAAAAAAGAATCCTCACTCCAACATACCCAACAGAAGGGTCAGCAAGTCTCTAAGGCCTCCAAGGAAGAACTCCTTCCAGGAAAGGCAGCCTTGTCCCACTTAGAAATAGCAGCTACTCCTATGTATCCACACGCCTGAGATCCCAGGCATCTAACACCTCATCTCCGGGTAATGAATGATGCATGCCCAAAACCATAGTTTTCCCACATAACTCTCCGAGTGCCTACACTTAACTTAACCTCTGTGCCTCTCAGTAAGCTAACTTCTGCTGCTTCTTGTGCAATTTGTAGACCCTCTGGATGCCCTGATACAGGGGTTCATGAACTTGTTGAGTTGGGTTGGGTTTTTTTTTTTAACATTCTAATAATTCTATTTCAATATATTTGGTTTCCTCTGTGAACCTAGGTACTTTATTTTATGCATTTTAAAATCATTCTTCTGAGAAGAGCTTCCCCAGACTGCCAGAACACAAGAACACAGAACACAAAAAGGTTAAGAATTCCCACTCCAATAGTAACCTACTGAAAATAACTTCCGATTGTAACTAATTCTCCATTACTAATATGGAAGAGAAACATGTAAAACTGAAATGTGCATAATTCCCAAACTCCACTAAAGCTAATGGCATGTTTCTCTCACCAAGTTTTTGTTTTGTTTTTAACCTATAAGGAGCTTCTGGTGAGGAACTTCCTCTACTATTGCAAATGGACACTCACCCAGAAATGTACAGTCTTAGAAAACTGCCTAGGGCACTCAGAGGGTAACCCAGCCAGGGCGAGTCAAAGGCAAGACTTGAATCCGTGTCTTCCTGACTCTGAAGCCAACACAATGTCAGAATGCCTCTCAGCTTTTAGCAAATAAAAAATGTGGCTGAGTTACAAGTCATGAAATCACAGAATTCAGAGCTGGAAGAAAGTCATAGGACCATAACTTCGGAGCCTGAGGAGGTATCCAATCCAACCCTCTCATTTTACAGATGAGGAAGCTGAGGCTCCATAGAAACAAAATGACTTGCTTATGGAGAAACAGCTACTAGAGACAGAGGCAGGATCTGAACCCAAGTCTTCCTGAGTACAAGACTAGCACTCTATACACTATACCAAACTGTCCCTGTCCTCTAAAAACAGGCATATCCTAAGAGAGAAGGAATAGACAAAGACAGACAAGCAAGGATCAGCTTCCCAAGAGCTCAAAGTCTTCCGGTACTTAAAAAGTGTGATGTGCACACAGGAGACAACCTTCAAAAAGAAGACAACCTTCAAAGAATCTTCCTCAGAGGAGAGCCTTACCAGAGTTCAGGGACCACCAAAGCTCTGAGGCTTTGGGACCCCCCCCCAGTACCTCATCTCATTCCCAATCATTCACTGCAACAGGGAAAAATTATGGGACTAACTTGAAGATTAAAGGATATGGTATGGGAATTGTTCCCTGGAGCTCCAGAATATGAGCTGATTACAACCACCACCAAAGTCAGAGCACCAGAGAACCTTCACAGAACAAGTGCCCCTATTGTATGTACTAACAGATTAAGGTTGTGATTCATTTCCTCATTCCCTCAGAAAAAGAAAAAGGGGTTGAAGGGGATGGGGATGCAGGTGGGGGTGGGGATGGGAAGCAGCCACGTAGCCAACCAGATTCTCTGTTCCACTCCAGCCGCCAAAATCTTGAAATTCACAAAATGTATAATTAGCCATGAATGGTCTAAAATGTACTTTATTAACTGAATGCATAATTCACTGCTTTTGCATACTGTTTATACATGATCTTCTTTGCCAAAAAATTCATCCTATGAGAAGTCTTATGCACATAATAATAAAAAGAACTAATATTTACATAATGCTTTAAGGTTTGCAAAGCTTTCTTTATTCACAGCATTTCAAAGGTCCTACTGCAGTTTTAAGCTTTAATAGCTTAAAAATATTTAAGTTTTAGCTATTAGACCTTAAAACTACCCTAGAACTTTTGGGAACACCCTATATAATCCCACTGGATCCTTACAAACACGCTGGTAGGTGGGTGCTATTATTATCTCTATTCCACAAATGAAAAAGTGAAGCCTCAAGAGGTGCTCAGAGTCACATGGCTAAATAAGAGTCTGAAGCCGGACAGGAACACAGTTCTTCCTGATTCCAAATACAGCATTCACTTTGCCTAGAGCACTATTTATTACTGTACAGCAGGATGTACATGTAAGCTGTGATAATTACTGCTTGTCTGTGAACTGTAATGTTGTAATTGCTTCCAAAGGAGGTGTGTCTCCTTCACTTTCTAGATTTGGGTTTACCAGGCTGGCCACCCCGGAGCCTACGATTCAGGCCTAGCCACCAGCAGCATCCGGCTGATGCCCAAATGGATAAGTCACGAGTCAAGGATTTCCCTCGTGTGGTTAACTGAATCAAAGCACATACTGTACAGGACCCAGTCAATTATGCTTTGCGACAAGAATAAACTACTGAAACAACAGGAATAGAATTAACTAATCACTGACCGCCAATTACAAACACAGCACAGTCCTATGGTACACAAAATATGTCATATGTCATGTGTTTGGGTGCCTGATTACATTGAGTTTATCACACTGAAATGCAAAGCACTCCTCTCATCTGTGTGTGGGTTTGCTGGTTTGGGGCTGGGCTTTTTGTTGGGTTTTTTTTTTTTGGCCCTAGCTGGCTCCTCAGAAAGCAAACACCCTGTTTTCCCCTTCCCAGCAGTAGATGGTGTAGGGTCTGGGTATGTGGCTTGCCCCCCAAGAAATACCTGTTGAACTGAACCAAAATTGAGTGAAGTAGTTTACTGTAATAGGAAAAATCTACTGACTTGGTAGTCACGAGACATGGGGACTAATCCCAACTCTATGTGACCCTGGACAAGTTACTAAAATCATCTGGGCTTCAGTCTATTTATAATTTAAATGAAGAGTATGGATTAAATCATCTCCAAAGTCCATTCCAGTTTTAAGATCATAAAGATACACAATTTACATGGAATTATTCAAGCCACGATATCTGACATTGGTTTGTCCTGAAAGACACAAAGAGGGAAGGAATAGAGGGACAGAAAGTAAAGAGATGAGGGTAGGGATTAAAGGAGAGAAAGACTGGCCTGAATTATTATTGAGAAAGCATCAGATTTAGAGTCAGAGAACTCAAATTCAAAGCTGGCTCTGCTGCTTACAATTTAAGTAACACTAAGCACCCTTTCCAGCCTCAGTTGCTTCATGTGTAAAATAAAGGACTTGGGTAACATGATCCCTAAGTACCTTTCATTCTAAATACAATCAATGAATCTTTTTCTTAAGAAACAAAAAGGCCTTTCAAGATATATACCTGGCACCTAAGTCTAGCCAGGGTTCTTTGAGGATTCAGGCAACCTGGATTTCTTAAAAAGTCTTTGAATGATTTTAGGATTATAGATCTGCAAAGGAGCTCAGAGACCGTGGCTTCCAACTACCTGCTTACAATTTATCAGAGAAAAAGTCCTGTAGTTCCCTTCTTGGTACTCTCAGCTCATTAATGGAGTGCTCTATATATAATGGAGTGCTTAAATTATATAACCGTCCCCTTTAAAACAAAAAGCTAATGACCAATTACCTACATAAATATACCAGTATTCCTCTGAATTTTTTTTTCCAAAGAGACTTCTTCTTTACTTGATTCCTAATGCTTACTACTTGTATTACCTTGGGCAAATTACTTAATTTCCTTGGGCCTCAGTTTCCTCATCTATAAAATGAAGGGACTGATACAGAATACCTCTAAAGCCTCCTTCCAGTTGTAATCTATGATTCTGTAATCTGTGATTCCAGTCCTCTAAATCAGAGAGTTGGAATCATAGGAATTAGTCTTGCAAGGGACCTCAAATGTCTAGCCCAACCTTCTTCACAAGATTCTTTAAAATGACCCTTTAAACCACCCTCGCAGGCTTAAATCTCCCTAACGTGCTTTTTTAAAGGGATTATAATTCATCCTCTCCCCCCAAATATATTCTTGTTAAAACACACTGAAACACAATGATTCTTAAACTGACATAACATGATTTCCTCTGATACTGACTAACACACCCACTTGCTGCCTTGGTAAGATACAAGTTGACATACAGGGACCCAAGTCAATTACTCAATGTTAGTCAATCTCTTTTTAAAAGTGTAATTTAATAAAGTTTAAGTTTATCTGGCAGTCAGTGCATCTGAAAATAAATGAAGAATTTTAGGTATGACAAATGTCAGTAGTAAAAAGAAGTTTTACCTTCTGAACTAACCTCATGTTACACAAAGGACAGCAATACAGTCAATCTACTATAATCATTCTGTGAATTGATGCTAAGCTTTTGACATCTTTGAACACTATCATTTATTTAACTTTTTTATTTGTTTCAAATGATACTTATCATCATTTCCTATTGATTTATATCAGAAGTGTCACACATGGAGCACGCAACACTTACCAGTGCAGCTAGAAACAGATTAAAATATAGTCAGGAAATACTTAACAAAATAAATTAAAATATAACAAAATAATGTTAATATGGGGTTTTCTAAGTCACTATGTCACCTCCTAGGGATCCTTAAGTATGGTTTAGTGACTATTTGGATTTGATACTGCTGATTTACATCAACCACTGGAAGAAGAAGGAGCAAATTAGAAATAAAAAGATCCGGTTTTAAATGCTAATTCTGTTATTCCTCAGGCTCATATATATGATATATAACTCATATGACTTTTCTGAGCCTCAAGTTTCTTCATTTAATGTTTATTAAATATCCACTATACTATGTAAAGAGCACCATTCTCAGGGCATATCCAAAGTTTAGATAAAATGGAGTTCTTACCTTAATAGGGGAATAAGACATCAGTACAGAAAACTTTAACATTTATTGTGCTATATGAGACTCGAGGTAAGGTCATTTCCAACATTACTGCCTGAGGGTTTCAAGGAAGGGCTTCATGGAGAAGCTGGCAACATTAAAAGGACTAATGTGAGGAAACAACTTTTTAAGCTTAAAGCACTACATAACTGTAAGTTATCATCATCATCACCATCGCCATCACTGTTTGGAAGCCTTCCCTGGATCCAATCCAGGAGTAAGGTACAACTACAGACAAACCCTATTCCAAAACTCAGTGGCAATTTAATCCTGCAAGTTCTCCATCAATTAAGTTCTGGTAAAAGAGTATTGCCCTCCCCCCCAAAAAAAATCATGCCCCCACTGAACTATTTCCCACTAGACTGGTTCCCCAAACCTGGTCATCCTGTTTCCCTCCTTAGGTGCCATTAGCTTGCCTGTAGTACCTTCTCCCAAACTCTCATTCCACTATTAATTCTCTCTCCTCTTCTGCAAGTCCACTCTCCAAGCCAGTGAGAACTCCTACTCAATTCTCAATAATAACTGCCCTAAGTCCTCAAATCTTTTCAATCAACATTTCTTCTGCCTTCCTCATTAACTGGAGCCTGGAATTTTCCAGAGGACCACAAAGAAATATATCCCTTGTAACATTCTCCCTCGAAAGCCAGAGCATCTACAGGGCAAGGAGAAGGCAAGGGCTAGTTTTCAGCCTCTCCGACTCTCTCACACTAGACCAGTTCTGCCCTACTTCCTAAGCATCCTTATTCTTCCCATCTATCTCTCTCACTGTGTTTACTTTCCTCCAAATTCAACTCTAACCCCATAGTTGGCCATTTCAATCTTTCACTAACCCTTACTCTAGAACCTCTCCCCTACTCCCATCTTCCACCATCAAATATTCATCCTTGGATAACCCACGGGATGCTGAACATCACTGGGAAAAGTCACATATGTGAACAAAGTTCATCCTTCTTATATGAATCCTTGAGGCTATGTAACAGTCTAGGACCTTAATTAGCTACCTAAGTCATTTCCCACAACAACAGGGCCAGCCCCTTCCTTCTCACCTCCAACTACATCCCACTACTTAAAATCACTTAGAAGATTAATGCCATCTAACACCATCTCCTTAGCTCTCCTCTTCAAATCCTTCAGAACTTCTCAGCATCATTACCCACTTTCTCCTACTTACTTGGTCACAAAAGAGCTAGCCCTATTCTTTACTAAATCTAATTTGTCTGCTTCGATTCTGGCTTCTATTTAATCCTGCTTCCTTCAGGACTAAATGCTTATCCCCTCACTTCTCATACACCTTAAATTTCCCCATTGCCACTAACTCCTTCTTTTCTTCCTACAAACATGCCCAAAGCCATGCTAAAAAAAAAAAAAATTCCCTTGACCCTACTTTACTCCATCCAGCCACTGTCCCATTTCTCTCTTCCCATTCTCTCTTAAACATCTTGAAAAAGCTTAACTGCTCTCTATACTCAATTCCTCCTCTTCTTCCCAGTCCTCTGAAATCTAGCTCTTGTCTTAATCATTCTACTGAAATTCCTGATAAAGCCATCAATTATCTAAGTGCCAAACCCAATGGCCAATTTTTCAGGCCTCATCCTCTTCTACAGTATTTGCTATTGTTGATTCCCAGTTTACCTATCAGATTTACGGAGAAGAGAAGAATTTATGAACAAACAAGAGATAGAGAACATTATGAAATGCAAAATGGCTGACTTTGATTACATTAAATTGAAATGTTTTTGCACATACAATGCCAATGCAACCAGGATTAGAAGGGAAGCAGAAAGCTGGGAAACAATTTTTACAACCAGTGTCTCTGATAAAGGCCTCATTTCTAAAATATATAGAGAACTGAGTCAAATTTACAAGAATACAAGTCATTCCCCAATTGATTAATGGCTGAAGGATATGAATAGGCAGTTTTCAGAGGAAGAAATTAAAGTTACCTATAGTTATATAAAAAATGCTCTAAATCTCTATCGATTAGAGAATTGCAAATCGTAAATGTTGGAGAAGATGTGGGAAAATTGGAACACTGAGGCATTGTTGGTGGAGTTGTGAACTGATCCAGCCATTCTGGACAGCAATTTGGAACTATGCCCAAAAGGCCATAAAAATATGCATACTCTTTGGCCCAGCAATAATACCACTTCTAGGTCTGTATCCCAAAGAGTTCACAAAAATGGGAAAAGGATCTACATGTACAAAAATATTTATAGCAGCTCTTCGTGTAGTGGCAAAGAACTGGAAATTGAGGGGATGCCCATCAATTGGGGAATGGCTAAACGAGTTGGGCTACATGAATGTAATGGAATACTACTGTGCTATAAGAAATAATGAGCAGGCAGACTTCAGAAAAACCTGGAAAGACTTATATGAACTGATGCTGAGTGAAATGAGCAGAACCAGAAGAACACTGTATACAGCAACAAACACACTTTGGTGACTGACTTTGATAGATTGAGCTCTTCTCAACAATGCAACTGAGACAACTCCAAAAGTCTCACGATAGAAAATGCCATCCACGTCCAGAGAAAGAACTATGGAGTCTGAATGCAGATGGACGTTTACCATTTGTTCTCCTTTTCCTTTGTTGTTTT